TTAGGTCACGTTATTAGACATGGTTGCCAATCAAGTGCATGAGTTCTGAAATATAAATGTAACTCTTTAAAGGAAAGTAAGCCGTGTGTCTGAGTTATATATATTTTTTTGTTTAAGTGTTCACCACGTTACTGGCGTTTTCACAAGGAGACCCAATTTAGCCCATTGAAGGCAATGTCTTTGAGTCGTGTAGTGGTTTTGAGTTTTTTGTTTCGCTAGATGTCGAATTTTAATGAAATGCTCCTTACAGCTATGAGTTCTTGAAAAGGTCCCCAAAAGTTCTTAATATTTTCGAAACTTTCTTGTTTAAAAATGAGATTTTATAATAGCATATATGAACTAGAAACGAGCAATTGAAGTGGAAGCAGCAGATGTTCATTCCCAGGACAATTACTGATTACTTTTAGTGCGCGCTATAATATATATAATCCAGTCCAAACTAATCTATTAACGTAAAATGTACTAACTCAAGCCAAACTTGAGCAAACAAGCAGACTCTGCCGTTTCGCAGGATAAAATTCTGTAGACGCGAGTGCGTGGAAAAAAGCCAGGACTTTTCATGGCTTTTGCGAGGACTCTGAGAATCCGTAGCGGGTGTATTAAAGAACGCTGCCTACCCTTCGCTCTTTTTCTTGCTTTTTAGCGTTTTCGGTTTAACGCAAACAAAACAAAACGCAAAGCAAACACACTACCCCGAAAAAGGAGGGCACGCATCTGTATTTGTATGTAGATATAAAAACTTCAAAGCACACACACTTAACGTGCTCAGACACGCACTGGTACACACACACACACACACACACACGTGGCCAACATGGCGAACATGGCGGGCGGAAGCGGAAACGAAGAAGAAGAGTGCAGAAAGCTAGCCGGAGAGCGAGGCGCAGGGGCGCGGGGGCGCGGTGGCGCGGTGGCGGCTACTTGATGTTGCTGCCACAGATTTTGTTACACTTTGCTCTTGGCTAAGCGGTTGCTAAGCTGTCGGGGGCGGGGCGGCCATTTCCGAAGGGGGCATGGCCACGAAGGGGCGTTATCCAGGACACGTGCCGCTGCATTCGATGCGTGACAATCGCCGGGTCAGCGCACAACTGAAGTGCAAATTGGGTTAGAATCGAATCATTTTGGCGAATCATTTCATGTCAGCGTGCATATCAATATACATACAAATAGTATATATTCCGCTCCTTTTTCGCTGTTTGTGGTATCATTTTTATGGTTAAAGTGTGACAGATTGAGTTCGTTATATGCTCGGCACATATTAAAGGATTTTTTTATGGTTGCCAGTTGACAAGCGGCAATTATATTGTTTTGCGGTTCTACATTTGTTGACTGTTTTTAATTTAACGATGGTTCTTCCCCTAGTCATCATTAATTAAAGTGTTTACATTTTTGTCCCCTTCTAAGTGCTGATTTAATTGAGTGCCAGTGAGTATTGCCTTCATCATTTTACATTCATGCGAAAACAGCTTGTTTAACACTTTTTGTTTGGCTATGACTTTGGTCGAAACAACTGTGTAGGAGTTTGGTAACATTAGCAATGTGAATGGCTTGGCAAATCTCTAAGGTATGCGCTTGTTTTGCCTCCTGCATTTTTTCATTGTTTCGAGAAATGAAATGTAACCAAGCTGATGGAAAGTCTAATTGCAAGCCACAACACAAAACAGTCAACTTTGTCGTTTTTCAGAGCTGTTCCTAAATTGTTGGCACACATCCTGCCGTTTCCAAAGAACTTTTGCCACGGTAAACTTCCAACTTCTAACCGAAAAGCCTTAAGGCCCTTTTACCCAAACACACACACACACACACACACACACACACACAGGCACACAAGCACCGGAAGACAGGATGCGACATCCTGCACACACACACACACGCAACACGTATAGCATTGTGTATACAGCTGCGGCTCATTTGATCGCTGAGTTTTGGCCAATTGACGAGGGCGCAGACTTTGTGCGTAAATATTTTCCAAAATGCTTGCTAATTTGACTTGAGCTACTCTGCCCAGCCAGTCAGCTGTTCGGAAAGCTACCCGGTGCCATTTGTTTTTCCAGGGCCAGGCGAAAAAGTTGACAAATGTGGGAAGTGCCGAGTTTGGGCCCTTGGGCGCCCAAACATAATTAAACCGGAAACACCCGGCTGGCGGCACGAAACTCACTTGGGACTATTGCCTACTTATGCGGGCAGGACAATCTAATCAATATGCGCATTATACGCCGCAAATCAGATTAAATCGACAGCTAGAACGGTACAACTAGTTTGCTTAACCACAATAAAACTATATGTTCAAAGTTAATAGCCTTTCTATTACTCAACTTAGCCATTAATTGAATATGCCTTTAAAGTTTATTATTACGCAGTGAACAAAAATGGCTTTAACGTCTAAAAGCAATTTTGAACTTATCTGGGAGAGTGATTAGGCCAAGTGTTGTTAAAATGCATCGAATTTCGCACCACTGACAACCTGTTAACTAACTTAAATGGCCAGAGCCTGATGTAAATCAATAATGTGTAGAGCTCGCCTGAATTCTGGCCAAGTTCAAGCGCTGAAAAACTTTCGCTCTCATTTGTTGGCCATTGGCCGCTGGCTATTGGAAGTTGGCAGTTTCGTACTCGTTTTGGCCATAAACGTGGCAACTGTCGTTAAATATACATGAGGGCGCCAGGCGAACGCATAAATTGCCATTTAATGAGTGCGTATATGCGAGTGTGAGTGAGTGTGAGTGTGAGTGTGGGTGTCTGTGAGTGAGCAACATGTATACAATCGGACTCCATTACCGGGAAATTCGCTTTGTGGCCCGAAGTCTTTCAGCTTGGCTAACAAGTTTGTTCCATTTTCTGAGGCGGCTGGCATTTTCAGTTATTAATAAACAGAGTGTCGCACACAGGGACATGTGGCACACACTCGTTTAGGTTCACAGCAATATTTACTCGGGCCAAGTAATTGATAGCTTATTGATTTACATGCACGAGAACTAACTTTCTTTCGCTCTTACTTTCTTTTTTAATTTCCCTACCTTTTCTCCACTGTTCCCACTCTCTCGTTTTTCCAAAGGTTTGCAAGCCTTCACCTGAATATCCTTTTTGTTTGCTGAGAAAGTCCTCTTCTTAATGGCATTCCAATGGAAGAAAGATGGCAAACCTAAAATGGCTATAGATGAATGCAGTCCCTTGATTCGAACCTGCTGAGCTGAATAACCCGAAAAACATACATACTTATTTATTTCAACATTAAACTCAACTCATTTGAATGGCTTTTCCAAATCGGGGTAACTTCACTTACAGAGACGCTGGATTTTAGTAAAGCGGCTAATTTGTGGCATCGGGATACATGCGTTTGTTCAAACATTCAAACATAAAACATTCAGTCATCTTGAATTCCGTCACCGGCAGCTGTCAACGAACAAGGCAACCAGAAGTCATATATATTTTTATCAGTAGGCCACAGGATAAACAGGATGAAGTGGGCGGTGTGGCCAGGAGTCAGGAGATTTCGACCAAGTGGGCGGGGCAGGAGACAGCTGACTGATTGAGGCGCAATTGGAAGCTATCTCATCTCTATCTGCTGATGATGATGGGTTTAGCCAGCTGCCGCAAGATACTGGCACCAAAATCCCCCAAAGCCCAACACACACACACACACACAAGAATCTACACACACACTTATACCCACTTCCTGCTCAAATCCACTTCTCAATTCCTCCGACCAAGAAGCTGCCCTAGGCTCAGAACTCATTAAATTACAATAAAAATAATATCTCACTGACACACACACCCACACACACACACACACACAGTCAAGGCAAGAGAACACATCGGAAATACACATAAATCTCGACATAAGAATCCTTGAGAACGAATTCGGAAAATCGTAGTAAACACAAAGTCGAGGGCGGAAATAAACATTTAAGGTTGAAAGCCACGTAAATACTCACAATTATTCGCCATTTTGCAGTCAAATTTCACTTTTTATTGTACCGCTGTGTTATTTTTTATACATATACCTACACATTAATATTCATGCCGGTCCGTTTTTTTCGTTGAAAAAACACAGAGGTTGAGGCTAAATGGTGGATACAAAGAAATCCTGGAAGCGGGGAATTAAATTAAATTTCGATATTGGCTATTGGCGCGCTTATTGAGATACTGAGCAAATATGCATGAAAACACAAATCTCGACTGCGGTTTCATATTTGAAATAATTTATAAAATCAGCGGCTGTGAAAACCCCATAAAACGTGTCAATTTGAACTTGTTACGCTTATTTACCCAATGTGTAAAATGCCCAATAAATATCATTTGTTAATATTGAACAATAGAGCCAATCAAATGAAGTAACACAATTGCAATACAAACTACAAATACAATTCAGCAATTAATTAATATTTACTAGTAAACATGTACTTATTTATTTTTTATTAAATTAAAAGGCCTGTGGTTCTTTGTAAATGTGATGTATAAAACGAAAATGAATCCAATGTCCTGTGTATTGTACGAGTCCCCCGACATTTTGCCAAATTGAAAACAGACAAGACTTTAGGTTTAGATCCTTCCCGATCCATTTACCCGCATGCCAGGCTTTTATTAATTGACAAGATTAACGAAATGCTACCAAATACTGCAAATATGTAAAAATGTAAAAACACCATTTAACATTTGTGTACAAAAGCCAAACAAGCGAAAAGAGCGACAAGAATCAAAGAAAAAGAGCAAAAAACTTTCCACTTTACGAGGCATTAAAATAAAAGGTCGTAAAACGTAAAATGGCATAAAAACCGGGAGCAAATCGTGAACGCGAACAAAAAACAAAAAAACATACTGCATCAATATACAACAACATACAAGGGCCAAAGTAAACAAACAAAAAAGTAAACAGACGGGCAAACAAAGAAAACAAACAGATATGTAATACTAAAAAACACTAAATACAAGTATATATACACCCAGCCGTTTACGGCAATAAAAACTCGAAACTCGAAACCGAAATCAAATGAAACGAAATGAAATACACGCATCAGATGGCCAGGTATACGGTTGAGATATGTACATATATAATTAGATATATACCCCTAAACCCATATATATCCATTCATTTGGCAGCGTACATATGTATGTAGCACACACGTGTATAACCAACTTTCTGTCATTTCTTCACCTCCAACGTGTCCGCCTTCTGCTCTCTGCTCCTGCTCCTGCTCCTGCTCCTCCTGCTGCTCCTCCTGCTGCTGATGATGATGAATCCAACGATGATTTTGATACACTGATGATATTTTATTGCCCAACGAAGTCCAAACAGCAGTAGCATCCACATAAACACCAACCACAAGCGCCAGAATCGCTTCACACAGTTAATGGACCGCCTGCCCCTGGGAGGGCTCAGTCCCAGCTCTGCCAAGCTGGGCACACCGGGGGCGCCGCAAAACCAGAACCAGAACCAGAATCCAAGTCCAAATCAGAATCAGAATCAGCCATCAATGTCCTCGTCGGTGAGCAGCCTGAATCCCAGCATCTCGCAGCTGGAGGTGACTTCTACAGGCGACCATCTCTGCCGCTCCGTGAGCTTTCTTAGCGAGGAGCTGCTCCTGGACATGGAGACCGGCGAGGAGATCCATGATCCGCACAGGTAGTTGGTCCTTCAGTAAACAACATACCAGCCAACACACAAACACACACACACACACTGCCAAGGGAGACGGCTGCTGCACAGATGCTGCTTGGGCCACTCGGGCGCATACTTAATGTCCTGCTGAACAGCACGGAGCAGCGCAATAAAGGAAAAACAATAAAACGGCTAGCTAAACATTCCGGCTGCACTGACAAAAAAGTAGGAGTTCCCAGTTCAAATACCGCAATACTTAATTTGAGATACTCAAAATGTTCATAACACAAATTTGATGATAAGTTCTTAAGACAAAATGCATTCCTTTTTACTGTATTCATTGCTTTTTCTTTTACACAAATAACTCAGCTTGGTAATGTTTTCCTTGGCGCACCTCGACTAAATATTAAATGTAAGAAACCACTTATCGCCGTGCAGAAATCAGAGACGATGTTACCTTAAGTAGTAAAATCTGATCCAGAATGCAGTGCCAGGCATGTTAAATGATTAAATATTTTAAATGCCACGCCTCGAGAAAAACTTGAGGGCAGGTGCGCCTAATGATGCCAGGACTCCATTGAATTATGTCCACATCTTTGCATGCAAGAGTGAATAAGACCCTGCTCAAATCACGACGACAATACGCACTTAATATCAATAAAACAATACGGCTGTCCAGGAATCTCGCTTAAATGAAGATTTGGGGCACCAAAATACTCATTTGGGGCTCATACTCATACTGATACTCGATACTTGAGCACGCGAAACAACTTTGCGGCGATGGGAGAATGGGATTAGTGGATTAAGTGACAACGGTTCACTTCATTACATTGCGCACTGCTTTAAAATTAAGTAATTAAGCGATTGAGTTCGGGCTCCAAGTAATTATCGCACATTTCTAGAGTTACGGAGGGCTTCTCTGCCATTACCATTCTAAGAATAAACATGAAATGCAATACATTTAAGTGCAATAATATTATCTAGCATAAGGCACTACCCTTCTAATTCAGTTGAATCAAAGATAGATTTCAGAAATCATTCCCTAATTTATCGCACATTTCTAGAGTTACGGAGGGCTTCTCTGCCATTACCATTCTAAGAATAAACATGAAATGCAATACATTTAAGTGCAATAATATTATCTCGCATAAGGCACTACCCGTAAGTCAGTTGAATCAAAGATAGATTTCAGAAATCATTCCCTAATTTATTCATCAAACCGACAACGAAGCCTCTTTAATACCACACTTGCGTTTATCAGTCCAAGATTAACTCGGCTCACCTAATGTCATTGCACACAATGGCATGTTTACACAGATTGGACGGATTGAAATGTCCCCGTTTGGCATTTGACACTTCCTCTGCGGCTTACCGCTGCATCAATCACGCAATATGCGGCAAATTAATTAATTACTGACCAGCGGCAGCTGATGCATAGCGGCTGAATAATGTATTTGATTTAGGACTCAGGATGGCCACGCAAACTGCCAAGTGTATGAATTGAATTACGCGCATTCGATTTCCATTTAGATGACCAGACGCTTGGTCTTGGCATTGAGCATACATGGCAATGCAATTAATCGCGGGGCAGGATACGGATCCGGATCCTGATTCCTGATTTCCTGGCTCCAGACAATGGACACCATCTGCATTGAGTGCAAATTACCTGACCTTGCCGCTTGTTGACATTGCGCTCATTCGATTTGCCATCGTACCCATTGCGAATGCGATTTTATTTCCCACATCCTGCATCCTGCATCCCGCATCCCGCATCCTGCGGCCCATTGCCTGCATTATCCTTGATGCACTGACACTGGCATTGGCCTTGGGCCGTTAATTGCATCACAATGGCCCCAGGTGGCAGCTGGCGGTGCTGAGAGCTATACATCCATCGGAGGCTCCACCATCCAATCGAGTCCCATCGATCAGCCGGTGTCATAGCTTGGGATTAACTGGTGGCTGCCAGTTCACCTTTAATCGGAGAAGCGCCTCTTTCATCATTCGGCGATTGGGTTTTCAAGTTGCTGTCATTAAATCGGGATTGCTGTCATTTCTATCCATCTATCCATCTATTTCATCTGGGAAACCACTAAGAAAGTAATCGAGTGCCAACGGAGAGGAAGTTATTGGCATTAGTTTGTAAAAGGAACTGTGTAGCCAAGTTTCAGTGGTCATTTGCCGTAATCGGTAAGCGGATTTGAGTCTTATGGTAAATGAAAAAATTAATCGATACTCAAAGATGGCTTGCTGGTTTTTTAATTATGCTAAACGGAAATGAGCGAACAAATTACTGCCGTCAACAGGAAAGAGGAAAATATACATTCTCAATTAGGCAAAAATAGGCAGTTGATTTTCGTAACATAAATACGAGTACACATTTATTCTCTTTCGCAAAATCTTGTTTTTCTACGTAAATTCAATTTCTTTGGAATGCAAAGCTAATCAAAAGAAATAGAAACTAAGGGGGGCACTTAGAAATTGATTGGATTGACTATTCATATTTAGCATTCAAACATGGGAAAAATAGAAAAGTCACAAATTGAGTAAGTGTACTTTTTCATTTCATAAAAATGCATTTAAACGAAATGTGAGCTGTATAATTTTGTGTGCAACAAATGAAACTGAATATTCCTTGGAATCTGTTTGGAAAAGCCCTAATTCGCAAATTTGCACTGAAGTTCCTTTATTCCTTGTTTGTCAACCATTTTCTGTAATTGTAAACGGATTCCCTTTCTAAATATGGAATGCCTGGAAATTGAAAAAGCGAAACTTGATATCGAGTTGAAGAACTTTTCCTACTTGGCCGTGTTTACTTATTCAAAAAGTTCTCCAGCTATATACATACAATTTGAGTTTAATTAAGACTTGTGCCTGCATTCAGATAGTATTTCGGTTTTGCCAGCCTCTATTATCATGGCCATATCAATGGTTTGTTATTCAGCAGGCGAAAGCATTATGCAAAAATGGGATTTGCGGTGCTGCTGTTGCATCGGCGGCGCGGATTGCAGTTTTAATCAGGCCAACATCCATTGCCCTTCCGTGTCCCACAGCATTTCACAGACTTCGCTGCGAATTGTAAATTATTTGGCTTTCGAACCGCGCACACAAATCTGCAAAAAGCCGCAAGCCATGCGCTGTAAAATGAAACTTTTGCCACCTTCACCACTGGAAGGTGGTTTCCCCGGCTGGAAAACATTAGTGAAGTCGTTTCCTCATTAAATTTTAGCTATAAACTCTGCCGAAAGCGCGTTCAGCGAGCATTTGTGCCATTCTTTGCTCCAGAAATATACATCAGTGGCAATATGGGAGCACAGAAACTAAACTTTTATGCTGACGGCAAAACGTTGTTGCTCTGAATCATAAAATTACAAAATTAATATACTCTCTGCCAATGCACAACGGCAAACTAAATAAGGCATAAATTATATATTGAATTAATTATTGAACAAACCAAAACTACACGACCAGCTTTCCCTTAGGCATTTGTGCGAAATGGTAAAAAGTTCACTCGAAAAGGGGCGAAAATAAATGCAATGCGCTTGGGGAGCAAATGATGGAAATGAAACAAATTAAAACACTAAGCTTCAAGAGCCGCGGGCTGCAGAAGGACCCTCGCCCAGAAGGTCCTTGTTTCAAAAGAAGATTCAATTGCTATTTCCGGTCTGGCGTTCGGTTGCTAAGCCAAGCACCAAGGAGCCGGACCACAAATGCAACTCACAAGGGGAAATAATAGTCGATATGGAAATGGGAGCGGCAGTGGTGTGCAGATTGCAGGTGCAGCACCTGCTAATTGCCCACCTGTCACAAGCAGCCAGCTGGATGAGCACTGGCAGAAAAAGAGTGGAGAAAACAAATGATACACAAATATTTCATCAGTGCTAGTTGGCCTGCGTTACATTCAGTACTCTGCTGGTATAAAACTGTGTAAAGTATGCAGCATTGAGGCCTGTTTTCTCGCAGTGTCGTCCGTGTGAGTGGCTGGAAAATGTTGCAAACCGCAGTTGCAGCCAGTCGGCTGGTCTGACTTGCGACCTAGCGGCAAGTTGATTGTCGTCCGGGTTTGCCGACCAGGCCGAAGAATTCCATGTCCTGTGCCCGTCGAAAATGCGTGCTAGAAATCAAGGAGCTCGCCCTTTGTGGAGCTAGCGATAATATGCCAAATTGACTGCATTCTAATTTCTGTCACAAGGCTTCTGCGGAAAGGAAATTAAATTGCTGAACCCATTACTGGCCAACGGCAGGGTCTGGGATTTCGGTTTGGAGTTGCTGCATTTGCTGGGTTTGCTGCGGTTGCTGGGGTTGCAGTCTTGCCACAAAATTGTCTCCTTGGAGCGTCGATAATTAATGAGGCCTGCGTTGCACACGTTCGGCCAATCGGAAGTCATTGGCGTTTGTGCAGCCCAAAGAAAGCAATTTGAAAGCAAACAAGTTGCAGTTGCCTTGATTGTCGTAAGTTGCTAGGAATAAACATTTGCTTGTTAGGAATTTTAGGAATTTTAGGCATTTCGATGGCTTCAATTAAGCCGCAAAAGTGTGTTTACCAGCTATGCATATTGAGTATCTTACATCATTGGTCTCGTTGCTAAAATCGAAATGTTTCCCCAATGTTTCTACCCAGATCCACTCATCGTGATGAGTTTGGCACACAGCGTGTTTACAAGAAGACCTCGCCGAATTGTGTGCTGACTTTATATTTACCCACTCGCGAGATAACGCTCACCGGCAATAATCCGTCCGTTTTGAGGGGCATCGTCTACGTGGATCCGAAGGCCATCCAGGGATATCGCGTATACGCCCAGCTGACGCTGACATTTCGGTAAGTTTGCCCGCAGTGGTCAAGCCGTTGATGCTTCAATTTTGCCGATTTTTCCTACTTTAGCTATGGCCGCGAGGATGAGGAGGTGATGGGGCTGCGGTTCTGCAACGAGGCCATAATGTCACTGCACCAGATTTGGCCACGACTCGAGGAGCCCACACCAGAGTCCCTCAGTCCATTGCAGGTAATCCTTTGGAATTATGCATGAGCGGTTTGGGGATTTCAGGTTCGAAGTCCTTCGTCCTTCGTCCGTCGTCCTTCTTTCGCTAAAATGACGGGTCCTTGACCGACAGCTGATGGGAGAGCTGTCCAACTTTGGCATTAACAATTGATGACGTTGCGGAAGAGAGCTCTCCGCTTCTCCCCATCCTCCATGGGCTCCATCGGCTCCATTCTCGCCATTCTCACTATCACCGCACCCCAAAATCGCATTAACCAACCGGGTGAATCGGCTCCATTAGTGCGCCAGGGAAAAACGGCTCGGTGCACAAGATCATAAATAATTGGACAATTTGCTGGGACTTGCAACGCCATCGTTTGGCACCTCGGTTGGGGAGCATATGAAATTTCAGCAGGACTTTGCCAGGATGTTCCCTGGCCATCAGCGACTTTTTGCTGATTATTTAAGTAAGCCAACGCTCATTCAATATACGTAACACTGAAAGAAAACTGTACATTTCTATCCAAGCTACATTATATTTTGTAAATCTTGAATGTACCTACAAATGGTAGCCTATTTTTTTATCTGCTTTATTTATAACCCTTTGCCTTTCGCGAATTGTATTGCTTAACTGCTGGATGACAAACTGTTTCAATGATTTGGTTTCCCCTTGATAACCACTTCAGATCAGCTCCAGCCCCACGGATTTTTATGAGCAGCACGTCCGTCCGCTCGTCCGCTCGTCCGCTCGTCCGTCTGGCAATCCGTCCGGAATCCCGGACCCCGGATGCCGTATCCGGATGCTGACATCTCACGTGCGCCCTTGGAAATGTGTACTTCGTGGACCGTCGGTACACTCGCATGTGTATAATGGACACAAAATGATGGGTGCCGTTGTGGTGCTCGGAAATGTGGTGCCTTCGGGCGGCTTGGTGCACTTAAACCAATTGAAAATCAATTTCATTTAAGTAAAAGCCAAACAAATGTTTGCCATTGCCTCTCCGAATGCTGTGTGCATTGTTTTTCACGTCCTTGCGCGAGATTTGTAAGGGTTCTTGGAGGACTCTTTGGACGGCTGACCGGAAACTTTCGACTCAACCTTTCGCATTTTTATGAAATTTGACATGGCATAATTTATTTGTTCCTGCCAACCCATTTTCGTTGGTCCATGCCCCAAAACGAATTTGGTTAGCCAATGGGTTCTTCTCCTTCCATCCTCCACATCTTCAATGTGGAGGGTCCTCAGACACAAACACAAGCAAGGACCCATACACACACACACACACACAGGCACACGCATAATTAAATAAATTTGATTTTAATAACTTGCCGAACGACACGAGCCGGTAAAGATAAAGAAAAGCTGCCCGAAAATAGGCCTCAGCAAACAGATGAGACAAGAAAAAGAACAGGAAGTATAAAGAGAGATATTACACTGAAAAAAATCAATTGAAAAAACAACAATTTGCTGTATTTGGCCACGGATAAGCGTTGATAATATGCGCAAAGATTGGCTGTATTAGGGCGGTAATTTAAAAATGATGCTAGGAAGGAAAATAATACAGCTCGCTTTCTTACTCACTTAAAATTGTGGTTGTGTTGAGATAAGAGAATCCAGGACAACAGGAGCCCGAAGGACACGCTTACGCTTTCGTTGTCCCGAGAAACCTGAGAGTACACGCGCAAATGATTAAACTTTTATACACATTCATTTGAGTGAGCCGCCTTTAAAGGCTTAACAAATTGTACGCGCCCTGGGGAAAATCAATAGATAATCAATAGATAATCAATAGAGCTCAGCTAAATGCCTGCCGGCCAATGATAAGGTCCACCCTAAAGTACCCACATAGCTGAAGATGCATAACCAAATGCAAATGGAAATGTACACAAAAACGCAGAGGCAAGAATAAAGCCAAATGATAAATAAATAAATGAATTATATGCTTGCCCGCCGAATAAGTAAGAGAATCAATTATGCCAATCTGGCATCGCGTTTCCAGCCAAATCGAAATGCTAAGCTGCGCCACGCCCCCATTTATTCGCCCACTTATTTGCCTCTTCCGTTGCAGGAGGCCCTGATGAAGCGCCTGGGCGACGGAGCCCATCCCTTCACCCTCTCGCTGTCCTCCTACGCACCACCCAGTGTCCAGTTGGTGCCCGCCAAGCGGTACTACGGAGCTCCGATTGGCACCAGCTACGATGTGCGCTGCTTCATCGGTAAGTTTGGGGATCGCCGGGGCTTTAAGGATTAGCGCGGGGAGCTGGGACCTCAGAGAAGGCGACATTGTGCAGCTACTTCTGCCAGTGGCAGTGCTATTTAGGAGATGAAAGTTAGAGCTGGAAGTTAATCCCTTATGCTGTTTTATTTGAATGTATTTTAGGCATATTTCAAACTGACAGACTTTTGAACACTTATAAATATCAAGTTCAATTTAGGTTTGTACAAACTTAAAAGATTCCAGCCAGTCCCACGCAAGTTGAAGCACATGCTCGCAGACAACAGAAGTAGTCTGGAGTGCAGTGTCTTGGGATTGGGATTGGGTCAATAGACGGACATCTGGCTTTCACCTGAAGCACTCACCCACATTGCTGGCATCCCCCGCAGAAACCACCTGACTCAACTCACAACTCACACCCATCAAACCAGCCCATTTGAACGCCATCAAAGATCCAGACATCGTCGCCCACCGAATCCAGTGGTGACTTCGACTGTAACAATCAAGTCGATTTCCAGCGCTCAATTATATGTGTATAAATATCCATTTAAACACCAGCGGCCCGCCCCCAGCAATCCGCTTTCCTTCGAATTGAATCGAATCGAATCGAATCGAAACGAATCCAATCGCACCGAATTCATCGCTGACGTCAGTGCAGGGGGATTTGTGATTGATTTTTTATTTTTACTTTTGTTTTGCAATCGCAGGGACCGGCCCAGTTAATATAAAGTTGTTTTTATAAATTCAATTCGACACGCCCTTGCAGCTTAAATTACCAAGCATAAAAAGCACTTTTAAACTCGTCAGTTTTAAAAACCAAATATCGAAATTTACAGCAAATGCCACAGCTGAAAATAGGCTTAGCAACACGCATAATTAATCCGCACTGCCAATGTGTAATCAATATCAAAAGCCGCCGATTGGGAACCAAAGTGGGATTGGGATTCTGTTGATATTATCTTAGTCGCTCGAGGGTGTACGAATATGTCTGTGATTCCACATACAATTTTTGGTGGGAATATACAATGTACATGCAATATCCTGTCAGATGAAACTGTGAGTTTTGGCCAGCGCCGCAGGTGCCAAGGCGAAACACGCTCTCCAACTCCCCAGCAACCAGCCATGCCCACTCCCACTCCCACTTCCCACTTCCCATCCCGAGTGCCAGCCAACGCCTCTGTCTCCATCACTCGTGCAATTGTTGAATGTAGCATGCAAAGCCCAACTGCGGTTGCTCCGGGCAACCCACACAGGACCGAGGACCGAGGTCACAGGACGCCGGACGCAGGACATCCGGGGGATGGGTGGGACATGGCCAGGTCCTGCTCCAGCTGCAGCAGCTGCTGCTGCTGCTGCTGCTGCTGATGCTTCTGCGGCTCCATAATTACACGCTGTTCCACCGCATTGCCAGCAAGTTGGGGCAATGCGGTCCGCTTCACAACTTGCAATGGAAATGGGAAATTTATGGTCAGGATGGGGGTGTGTAAGGATGTTTGATCAAGAATAAGAAAAGCAGCAGCCCATGGCAACCAGTTGAAGGAAGGAGTTGCAGTAATTAATCTGAACTGATTACCAGCCGAGTGGCATATTCGATAATTAATTTCATTATTAGCACCCTACACACCTTGGGTAAGAAACGGCAAATGGAAATTGAATGCTTTATCTGGCTTAGATCATTTCCATGGCATAATTCATCAATTGAATGAGCTTGGCCAAAACAATTTCAGGCATTTTACCAGGCCCACATATCATGGTTAGAAAATCATTAAAAAGCAGTGCGCATTTTGCTCAGATTTCCATTGCCATTAAAGCTGTCCGGGCAATTATTTTAATTTACGTGGCGGCTTAGAATGAAAATGATTACAAAAGAGCTTAAGCTTTAGACATGCTAACAAATTGAGGCGTTCTCAAGGCGGGGCCAAGCTGAAATGCACAAATCTATGTTAATTAAGTATATTTAAGCGTGAGGTATGCAACAAATTTAACATTTAACTGTGACACATTTGTATTATAACAAAATCGCTGAAGTTTAAGTAAGAGCATAAGAAGTGTGAGATCTGTATCCAGATGCCAGCCAAATCGCTGGATTTTGAAAGGCACTGATGTGGACAACACATGCACAATACACATAATATAAATTAAAGCCCCATGATCATGATCGCACGCCCCTCATCCCGTATCGTTCGTATCGCCCCCGTATCCAATCCCATAGAGCTTCTGAGCGACGACGAGCCCACTTGAGCAGAAGCCAAGATCAAGCGCCCCAATCCGCTGGCCAGGTGGGTCTCCCGGCTCTTCTGCCGCGGCTGCTGTGCCTGTATGTGCACGTCCCCCGACCAAGGTATATGAGGCACTAACTGATTGATCTGATTGTGAAGTGGTTGTGTGGAATGTGGACATCGATTTCGGATCGAATCGCATCGGATTGGATTGGATTGGAATGGAATGGAATGGAATGGATTGGCTCGGCTCACATCGAATCGAATCGAATCCGATCGGATCGGCCATGCTATCGGTGTCGTCTTTGTCCTGTTGCTGCTCGTGATCGTGCTCCTTTCCATTTCCGTTTCTAAATCTGTTTCCGTTTCCGTTTCCATTTCCGTTTCCGTTTGTGTTTCTGTTGCCTCTTGCGTTCCATTCCAGTTTCTTGGTGTTGTGGCTTGCTCTATCTTACTCTCTCTCTCTCTATCTCCTTTTCTATCTCTCTCTCTTTCTCCCTGTCCCTGTCTTACTCTCCTGTGTGTACTTCTCCCATTCAGTGTTGGGGAAATTATTCATTTAACAATATTTACATTTATTACACTCACCTATTTTCTGAAATAGATTCTTCCATTTATTTGTTGATATGAGATTTTATAGAGGTTATAAACCGCCCCCACACGCTCCCTCCTTCCGTTGTTGTGCTCGATCTCTATTGCTGTTTGATATAGCCCAACTGTTAGAACCCCGTATCGACTCCTTCCTCCGATTTGCATCTCTCCATCTACCCAAACACCACTTTCATGTGTATCTTTCCCGCCATTTCTGTGTACTCCACCTTCATTTGTTTCATGTTGAGTGTGTTTGCTATCCGTTCAAGTGGCCGGCTGCCTGCCTGAGGTAATCGAAAAATCAAATAACGAATCTCTCATGATCACTTGCCATTCGGACGATTGACGGACCACGACTGCCAAAACAAAAATTCAAGACATCCGCAAAATTATAAGGATATTTCGCCCAGAAAGTCCTTGCAACAATTGAAAGCTTTCGCAAGCGTCGGCGGCGGCAACGGCAGCGGCAAACGAACTTTCCAATTCGCCTAACACAATCAATTAATCCATTTCTTGCCACCCACTCTTTCGTTCTCTGTCTATTTTCCACTGATCGTGCAGCGGACAAAACGGATGAGAAGTTCCATCGCCGGGCCTCGGTGAAGATGGGCGTGCGGGTCATCTATCGCACGGATGTCTTTCATCACTTGGCGCCCGAGCAGTACGCCGCCCTTGCCGGACGGCAGAACAACGCCCAGTCGCCGCCGGCCAGTGCCACGCCCCCTTCGGTAGGCGAGGGCGGGGAGCAGCACGCCGCCCACGCCCATGCCCACGCCCACGCCCATCACCAATCGCAGTCGCAGCCAACTAGCGGTTCCAAGCACAAGTCGAAGTCCGAGCGCGGCGACTCCTTCCCCAAGCTGCGGCTCTCACCGAAATCCTTTCGATTCAGCGGTCGTTTCGGGCGCAGCAAGAGCGAGATCGAGAAGTGTCCCAATGATCCCTTCCACAGCTACAGCAAGTCCTTCCAGGAGGTGAGACCCAATACCCCGTAGTGCCAAATAATTAAATAACTGAACCAATTGTGCAACTTTCAGCACTGTGACAGCATGTTGCCGCCGCACACTGGGGCCGGGGTCACTGGAGGAATCGGTGGCGTCAGCGTGGGTCCTTGTGGCGGTCCCCAAGGATCCGTGGACAAGCCATTCCTGCTGCACGACGGACGGGTGGGATTGCGGGCCAGCTTGGACAAGGGCTGGTATACACACGGCGAGGACGTTCAGGTGACCGTCAATATACGCAACGATAGCCGCAAGACGGTCCGCAAAGTTCGGGTAAGTTGCCCTGGTAGCCCACCAGTTAGCCATTCTTCCAGATTCCTCGGCCATTCCTCAGCCATTCCTCAGCCATTTCTTTGGTTAAGCAGGCAATCATTCGGAATGCCATTACGTATACGCAACGTGGTGTTGTCGAGGTGAAGGCTAACAAACTGTTGCTTTTGGGTCTCACCTGGAATGCAGGCTTTTGTGAGAGATTTCCAGGGGTGCAACTGGAAAACAACTTAAATTTATTGGCTTAAAAACGATTTGGTAGAAGCAAATACTTATTTAGAACGGCAATTGCAAAAGTACTTAGTGCAAAAGTAAATTGGAAAACAACTAGGCGCATTAGGATGCGGGTCGTCGATTAGGTTAGCAATTGGCTTTTGTTTAAAGGATTAGAGTCCTTTTGTATGGAACCTAACTGTCGGCGCCACTGATTTAAGCTGCATGCCCACCATGGCAACGAGCAACGAAAACTATCCACATCCTAGTCGACTTTATTCCTGGGATACACACAATACGGTACATAATCTGCATTGGCACCTGGTCTATGCAAAAAAGAAAGTGGCTTGGGATGACTAAAAAGCCAGGAGGATTTGATATCCATTGCTTGCCGGGTGTGCCTGGTACTGCGAAAATCGTCATTTCATTGAATGCAATTCGATGTTGGGCTCGAAGATTTTGAGGCACGTTATTAATTAAGTGCAAGATGCATATATTTGATCACATAAGCCGACATCCCTGCGTTGAGACACTGAGTGGAGAACTCAAGGGTCCTTTGTGATTGGTGCACACGTATGGAAGTATGGAAGGACCTGCTCCGAGTTATGACAGTTAATCAAACGCTCCCTTGGGCCAGGCACTACTAGTTAAGCTGATTGTGAGTTGCTTGGCTCCACCCTTCTAAGAGCAATGGGTTTCCAAGGCAAATGAGTAACGATGGGGATTGATTTGCAGTTTACTGGCTTATTCGAGACGGCAGCTTTCTGGACTTTTCATTGTCTTTGCTCCGTCCCTTGCTGTAACACACACACACACACGCTCAGCTATTTCCAGCTCAAGCACAATTCTAATGAAAAATAGCAATTACCAAAGATAATTTTCAAATTGCTGTATGCCGTATGCCGATTGAATGGGATTCAATTTGAGACTCCTATTTTCCTGGGTAAACAATAGGTGGGACAAACAAAAGGCAGCTTATATAGAGATTTAACGATGCCTCTAGAGCAGTGCCCATTTCCATTGACTTAGGCTTAGCATAAGCCTGGTTGCTTAAAAGAACAACGAATTTGAAGCAGAAATGTAGAAGAGAGACTAAATATAGTTCACAAAAAAAATGACTTCGAAATATAGTTGAAGATGCCCAGACTGCTAAAATATTGATTGATTCGGCTGCGATTTACTTGGCATTTTGGCACAGCAGCAAGAATATTATTGTATGCAAAACCTTAGAATTTCACCCTTACCCGAAATCGCCTGCTAATCGCTGTGGGGTAATGGAAAGATTACCCACGCACCTGATGTTGCCTCAAATGAAGGGAATGGCAGACAGGAAGACAGGTGGACAGAAAGTGGGGTGGCGACAAATCGAAAGGATCCCATGGGTCCCAGGGCTCCAGGACTCCAGGACTCCAAGACAGGCAGTTGATTCCTTAAGCACACCCACTCACGCACATATGCAAATTGCGCTTAGCCGAATGAAATTGTCAAGCGAAGGACACTCAGCCCCCTTTCCACACGGATTGCCGAAGGGGAGGGAGGAAAAGGATCTGAAAGGCTGGCAAAAGACGCAGTTAAAGTGAAAATTGTGTTTATACATTTTATGGGCTTTATTCCGCCCCCGCCACCGTTACTCAGCTTGACTTTTTATTGTGCCCCGAAGGCCCTTCAGTGTGAGCCGCACACACCTTTCTTCTGGCTCCTTCGGCATTCATAGAGCCTCCTTGTGTTCACGCCTGCCAGCCTGCCAGCCTGCCACGCCTACAAACACGCCAACGCCTTCCGTAAAAGGTAGACTGTATTTACCGGGAAATGGAACTCACAAAAGTGTGCTGTAGTCCTACATTGTGCCGGGCTATGCCTAATCCGTGCTTAACCCTCTCCTGTCCTTTTTATCCTTTTTTTTCCACATCCACTCCAGATGAACCATCAACGTCCATTGTCACGTACTCTAAGAACACGAAGATGGATAACTACTTAATGTCGCAATAGATTATTGAGTTTGTACTGCAGTCTATTTTTACTTTTTATTAAATTATTTCATTTCATTCGAAATTGAAATGTATTTCCGAAAACCAGCAGGAAATTTACATGGGTAGTAAGCCCGTTTTATTAGCCACCTCTTTGGGCAACTTATGTCCTTGATATCATATCATATTTCTTACAACATTTTTTATTTTTTGGTACAAAATAATCAGTGCTATTTCAATAAAAATAGTTGTCCAAAAGTGAAGGGCATAGTCAGTTATGCTTATTAGCAGCACAAAACAATCTTCATTTTAGTTGTGTCTTCTTTTTTTGGCTAAGTTGACCTAAACAAAATTTGTTGTATGTGGTTTTCTATGAAAAATAATCAGTATTTTTTCGATAGCAATAAAAGTAGTTGTCCAAAATTGGAATGACATACCTCGTTGAATTTGTAACAAAATTCGCTATCCACCTGCATTCAAACTTGAAAACTTTTATTTTTGACCATTTTTTGGAAATTTTGATGAGGGTACCCCTTATCGAAAATGCGAAAATTTGTTAAAATTTGTTTTTCCGAAAATCATAAAAGTGGTGATAGGCATAGTTAGCTATGTTTATTAGCAGCACAAAACTGTCTTCATTTTAGCTGTGCCTTCTTTTTTGGCTAAGTTATGGCGAAAACCCAGTTTGAAAATATCCGATTTTTGACAAAATTTTTTTTATGATTATTTTTTGATAAAAATAATCGGTTTTTTTGCGATAGCAATAAAAATAGTTGTCCAAACCTAGAATGTCATACCCCGTTGAATTCGTAACAAAATTTCCCATCGACGTGTATTCAAAAAAGTAAATTTTAATTTTTTGCCATTTTTCGCAAATTTTGATGGGGGTACCCCTTATCGAAAATGCGAAATTTTGTTAAAATTTATTTTTCCGAAAATCATAAAAGTAGTGATAGGCATAGTTAGCTATGTTTATTAGCAGCACAAAACTGTCTTCATTTTAGCTGTGCCTTCTTTTTTGGCTAAGTTATGGCGAAAACCCAGTTTGAAAATATCCGATTTTTGACAAAATTTTTTTTATGATTATTTTTTGATAAAAATAATCGGTTTTTTTGCGATAGCAATAAAAATAGTTGTCCAAACCTAGAATGTCATACCCCGTTGAATTCGTAACAAAATTTCCCATCGACGTGTATTCAAAAAAGTAAATTTTAATTTTTTGCCATTTTTCGCAAATTTTGATGGGGGTACCCCTTATCGAAAATGCGAAATTTTGTTAAAATTTATTTTTTCGAAAATCATAAAAGTAGTGATAGGCATAGTTAGCTGGGTTTATTAGCAGCACAAAACTGTCTTCATTTTAGCTGTGCCTTCTTTTTTGGCTAAGTTATGGCGAAAACCCAGTTTGAAAATATCCGATTTTTGACAAAATTTTTTTTATGATTATTTTTTGATAAAAATAATCGGTTTTTTTGCGATAGCAATAAAAATAGTTGTCCAAACCTAGAATGTCATACCCCGTTGAATTCGTAACAAAATTTCCCATCGACGTGTATTCAAAAAAGTAAATTCTAATTTTTTGCCATTTTTCGCAAATTTTGATGGGGGTACCCCTTATCGAAAATGCGAAATTTTGTTAAAATTTATTTTTTCGAAAATCATAAAAGTAGTGATAGGCATAGTTAGCTGGGTTTATTAGCAGCACACAACTGTCTTCATTTTAGCTGTGCCTTCTTTTTTGGCTAAGTTATGGCGAAAACCCAGTTTGAAAATATCCGATTTTTGACAAAATTTTTTTTATGATTATTTTTTGATAAAAATAATCGGTTTTTTTGCGATAGCAATAAAAATAGTTGTCCAAACCTAGAATGTCATACCCCGTTGAATTCGTAACAAAATTTCCCATCGACGTGTATTCAAAAAAGTAAATTCTAATTTTTTGCCATTTTTCGTAAATTTTGATGGGGGTACCCCTTATCGAAAATGCGAAATTTTGTTAAAATTTATTTTTTCGAAAATCATAAAAGTAGTGATAGGCATAGTTAGCTGGGTTTATTAGCAGCACAAAACTGTCTTCATTTTAGCTGTGCCTTCTTTTTTGGCTAAGTTATGGCGAAAACTCAGTTTGAAAATATCCGATTTTTGACAAAATTTTTTTTATGATTATTTTTTGATAAAAATAATCGGTTTTTTTGCGATAGCAATAAAAATAGTTGTCCAAACCTAGAATGTCATACCCCGTTGAATTCGTAACAAAATTTCCCATCGACGTGTATTCAAAAAAGTAAATTCTAATTTTTTGCCATTTTTCGCAAATTTTGATGGGGGTACCCCTTATCGAAAATGCGAAATTTTGTTAAAATTTATTTTTTCGAAAATCATAAAAGTAGTGATAGGCATAGTTAGCTGGGTTTATTAGCAGCACAAAACTGTCTTCATTTTAGCTGTGCCTTCTTTTTTGGCTAAGTTATGGCGAAAACCCAGTTTGAAAATATCCGATTTTTGACAAAATTTTGTTTATGATTATTTTTTGATAAAAATAATCGGTTTTTTTGCGATAGCAATAAAAATAGTTGTCCAAACCTAGAATGTCATACCCCGTTGAATTCGTAACAAAATTTCCCATCGACGTGTATTCAAAAAAGTAAATTCTAATTTTTTGCCATTTTTGGCAAATTTTGATGGGGGTACCCCTTATCGAAAATGCGAAATTTTGTTAAAATTTATTTTTTCGAAAATCATAAAAGTAGTGATAGGCATAGTTAGCTGGGTTTATTAGCAGCACAAAACTGTCTTCATTTTAGCTGTGCCTTCTTTTTTGGC